GGCTCGGAGGGCGCTGCAGCCAAGCATCTAGCCAAGTTCAGCCACATGTCGGAATCTCGCTCCAGCTTGACAGCCTCTGTGCGCGGGATCCTTCACTGAAGGCATTGGCTGCAGAACCTCTGCCGCAGCACTGCGGCCTGATTGCAAGAAACATGTGTCATTGCACTTGCAGCTCGAAGCAGCTTAGTAGCATTCCACTCGTGCCGTCCGGGGTGGGGGCGGGGGGGTGCCAGGCCATGAGCCAGATGCTCCGAGAGCCAGGTCACATGCAAGGCTGGGCCCGGGATTTGACGACTAGGCCAGTTCCATGAGTTGTTCAGGGAGCAAAAGTGATCGCCAGGGGCTGACTTCTCAGGCTCTTTAGCACAGAAAAGACAGTCTCTTGGTCCACGGTTCGCTCATGTTCTTTCGTGCATGTTAGGTTAAACTCCCATTCTGCGCTGGGTTCTTGCCAGCGACAGCGAGTTTGCAAAGCTCGGCATCTTGATTGTACTCGTTTCAAGTGCCAGGCATTGATATCTCGAACAGCGAGCATTTGGAACGCTTGCAGGCAAGCCTGCGGATTGAGTGTTTTACCTCCGACATCACATGCTCGAGAGACGTGTGTGGACAGCAGGCCCTGCGCGGGTCAGGTTGCGTCTCTCTGATTTCGGTAAGCTCACGAAGAGACCTGCGGAAATTACCTTTGCACACCCTGGGGTCTTGAATTCTCCAGTCTTGAGATGTCTTGAGCATTCTTTCGCACTTTGGGCAGGCGCTCCGCGAAGAGCTTCGGGCCTGTGGATATGCTGCAAAGGACATACTTGGCATGACTCAGGCCGAGAAGAACCTTCCTCCGTCCGTATGGACCATACTAGGACACTAACTTGAATGCTATGATGTGACAGGTCATGGATTCGAGAATGCCGTAGTCACGAAGCTTGTGTTCGAACAGAGCCTTCGTGTTCATGTCACTCTGCTACGTCACTCTCCCCTCCTGCCACCATTTCTCAGAAGCCTGTGTCTTGCAGGGTTCACTCATTTGGCTCCCACTTCATCCCGAAGGTCCCGACGCTTGAGATGTTCGCCGACGACGACCTGTGCGGGCAAGCAGCTGATGCCTTGCTGGCCAGGGCGCCGGAGGAACAGAAAGGACTTGCAGAGCTTGTACGGCAGCTTGGCTGTTCCTGCCAAACGTATTCGGTCCTTCGGGCAGAACGACTGGGTCGGACATGGAAATTTGATGAAACCTTTCTAGCGATCGTTGCCACCCGGCCGTCTGCAGACTTGCCGCAGTTGCTGCACTGTACATCCCGACGAGTCCGTGCCTAAGGTTCTTCCTTTTGAGCAGGCCTGTGCCGCTCAAGCGGCTGACGGAGCTGATGGGCTCCCCCTGTATGGAGCTGCCTGGCCTGCATAGCTGTCAGATCTGGACAGCATGAGCCTAGCACGTGCAGCAGTGCAGCTGTCACCGGCACCGAAAGCTCTGCAATTTTGGCACGATATTCCGCTCTTCTCCAGCATCGAGTGCGTCAGGTTCCTTCTAGAGAAGCAAGCCGTCACTGTGATCCGTGGCCCCTCCTGTGCCTTGGTCCAGGCGTGGATTAGCCTTGTCTGTAGTGAACTGCTTGATGACTTCGACACTGATCTGCATCCTTGTTGGCTGCGTACAGCCTTGCCCGGCCTTCTGGGGAGGCAGAGGACGCTCTGAAGGCTCTGGAGAATGCCGCAGATGATTTCTATTGCTTTGCGAACATCAAGATATGGCCGGTGGAGGTTGCGGTGATGCTGTTTGACGTAGACATCTCGCATGCTATGATGCTGCATAGGACCTTCTCATTGCCACGGATCGGCAAACCTGGCCGTCTCAGGCAGGGAAGCTGATTCGAAATCAGCAGGGCTGGCACAAGTGTCGGAAGCAGCTTGCAGATGCAGGACCCACCAAGATACAATCAAGACAGCACCTCCGCGCAGCGCGTGTAATGTTTGCCGGTTCAGGGATTTGAGCCAGTGATGTACCTTTCGGACGACTCCTGGGGGCTCATCTATGGAGCGCCACGGGAAGAAGTGGAGTCAGTGCCGCTCAGCCTGCAGTACGAAATGAGAACCTGATAAGAGAATCAGCCGAAGCCTCATGGAAACTCAGTTAGGCTATGGCGGTAACCATTGACAACTTAGAGGATGTGCTTGATTCCACAAACAAAGCTCAGCACAGATACAAATAATTAGGCCTATCAACGAGTTATGTATTTCCTTCGTAGAGCAGTTATGAGTCCTTATTACGATGGCTTTTCAATTCGCATTTGTCGTTATGGCAATGCCAAATTCATGGGGCGATGAACTTTTTAACCCTGAGCCCGGAACCAACTTCTACAAGGAACCACTTGCGGCTTTTGGGCTATGGCACCTAGGTAGGGTGTAAATATTGGGATGAGACATTTTCCGAAGATAGATATCTATCATTGGGGGATGGGTGGTGCCATATGCCGAAAAACGGCGAGGTTGTCCCTAACTAACTAATTCCAGGCTGGACCTCTGCACCGGCAGCGGCGTCCAAGGGCTAGTAGCCCTGCAAAATTACGCCAAAACCGCAACCTTCGTTGACTTGAATCCTCGCGCTCTGGACTTTGTGCGCGGCTCGCCTTGTACAGAAACGACAGACCATCTGTATCGACCGCAATGTGTGACGGCCTTCATCTTCAGGCTTCAACGTCGCTTTGAACGGCCTTTCGCAGAAAGTTTCTGGAATCTACGAAGGCAATCTGTACCAGGCGCTGCCGCCAGAATCTGGGCCCTTTGACGACACTGGGTTACAGCAATAGCACAGTTTTGCTGTCACTGTGTTGCCTATGAGAGTAAGCAGGCGATGAGCCAAGCGTTTTCAGTACGCTGGCACACTTCCCTTTCAGACGAATTTCAGCTGTAGAACAGTTCTCAGGAAAACACCGTCCTTTCTTAAGGCCATCTTGGCCAATCCGCCCTTCCTCCCGAATCCGCGCAGCATCGGCTCGCAGTGTTCGGCGAAATTTGGCGACGGAGGCTGACTTTTGAGCTCAGCGACTTAGGGCTGGTTGATTCGTTCATATGTCGTTAGTTCAACATGGCACGCCAAACCGCGCATGCAGTCCTGTTTTCTGAAGACAACTTTGTTCAAACTGTTGCTCGCGAAAGGTCTAAACGGCGTAATGTGGAGTCGAGCTTCCTGGGCAGCCATGACATGATTCTGATTAGTTTGCAGGTGATTTTGGGGAAGACATCTTGGAGGCCATGGCTTTGAGCAAGAAGCTGCCGTGGTAGTGTGATGTTGAGTGGAGCTGTCAGGCAATTCTGCAAGGTGTGGCAGACCACCTCAAGCCTGCTGGGCACCTGAGCGCTGTCACCTACGCACCGAACACCCCAGAGATGGCAGAGAGGAGCTGGAATTCGTTGCCTTCAGGTTCGGCTGGGGGGTGGGGACGTCTCTTTGAGACAGGATCGCGCGATACCTGGAGAGTCCTGACGAGATGTCGCCGTGCATCACGGTCTTCAGCAGCAAGCTGAAGCCAGCCAAGGCGAGAGTCTTGGGATGGTGTAGCCAGTGTATCTTACGGAGCATTTATTTGTTCTAGTTTCTGCCGGATGCCGAAGAGCCATGCTATTCTGCTCTTCTCTTGTGCCAGGAGTTCAAGCCTGTGTCCAGCGCGGTTGAAGCCGTCCGATATCAGGTGCGCATGCTGCGTGTTGCGAACATTGCTGCCCCCACAAGCACTGACAGTGTCCAGAGCGCGAGGAATAAAAATATAATCAGAGCCGCAGCTTCTAAAGCCTTCGTAAATCTGCTCTGTCCACCATATATTTGTCAGAGTTCGGAACGGTGTGTCAGGAGGCACTGGACGAGGTTGGCATCAAGACAATGGCCGAGGCCATCACGCTGGTGAGCTTCGAAGAGAAAGCTGCACAGACGCGCCTTGGCCACTGTCTGCCAACGACAGTCCCTCCTTGAGCGTGACACTGAACGTAAAAAAGGCATTTCGTCCTCAAGGAGCATCTTTTCCAGGACGAGGGCTACTTGCGAAGTCTCTGGAAGCAGCACTTGGATGGCTGTTCGAAGACTTGAAGAGCGAGCGCAAAAGGTCGGTGCTTCATGGTGTTCCCCTGGGCAATCTCAGCAGTGAACCCCGGGTCTGGCCAGCTCCCGCCGAGCCGCTTTTGGCCAAGAGAGTGTTTAGTTTCCATGTGTGTCATCGCTGCAGCCAGAGCTCAGACAGTACCTTGCACCAGTCCTTCAGTAGGGCTCCCTAGGACGCTTGTTTCAGATTGTTTGAGAAGCAACCTATGCCGAGAAGATTAGCTCTCGCCATGCGCTTCCGTGCTGAATAAAAAGCGATGACGACAGAGCCATCGGACATCTTGCCTTTGCATCTCTTCATCGAGAGGGCACGGCACAGCAGCCTTCACCATGGCAGCCGGCTCGGAAGGCCGAGGATCTCAGCGTTGCAAGGTTCAGAGTTGCCACCTTTCGCTTTTTTGAGGGACATCCAGCTCAGCCAGATGGAGGGCAGCCATGTGCCGGACAACATCGAGCTGGGAACTAACCTAATGCCGCCGAGGGAAGCCGAGGCAACAAGCACGCTTGATGTGCTTTGGCCTTGTTGGGCAGTGGAAGCAGCCATGAGCCTCGAACTGGTGAACGGGCAATTTTAAGGTCATCTCGTCCTTCAGCAGGGCCGAACCGGCGGCTGATGAAGGTCATATGGCTACCTTGACTCTCAGCGGCTGTTCGCTTTCTGCTGGCTTCCGATATTCGATTCCGTTCTTTGCGTGCTCAGGACGCCAAGCTGCTTCAGCCTGGTCCTGATGTGTGCGGTTCATCAGGCTCCCTGCGTGAATTCGCCATACTGGGTTCTGGCTCTTCCAGACTCTGGACGTTCTGAAAAGCTAACGAGGTGAACATGTGGGTGCCGCTGCTCTTGGTCATCCCGGTCTCAATCGCGCAGACTAGTGTCAGTCCCTCAGCATCGCGTGCATCGATGCAGGTTCAGATGAACCACTCCTGTGCTGACTCAGGTGCTTTACATCATCACTTTCAAATCACCGGAGTATCTGTTCGGGTTCCTTGGCACGACGAGTGGCCTGCAATCAGGTTGATCGCATTGCTTTCTACTCAGGTCAGGGCGATGGCTGCTGCCGGTCTCCGCATCCAAGTCGCTGAATGCTATGAAAGCCTTTGCCTCCATCTTGATGCTGGGTCAGATTGCCGAGGAGTTCTATGAAATCGGCTGCTCGCTTGAAGTTTATGTGATGGCGACATTCCGTTGATGACTGCTTCGGAAGCTTGACAATTTTTTTCGCATCCACTCGTTCTCGGATTCTACACGCAACACCTGGCCATGATTACTGTAGCGCGGCGTGGCTCGTCTTTGCTGCACCATCAGCACATCAGCCAGCTGTTCCGAAGTAGCCGGCGGACAGTCTCAACACGTCCACCTTGTTGCACTGTTTCGAGAGCCTAGGGATCCTAGGGCCTAGATGGGCGTAGTATCTGCGCAACCAGAGCACCTTTTCCTGCACGTTTGATTTGTCAGGTGAATCGGCAAGTGTTCTTCGCCGAAGTCGGCTGGCCAAGAATTGGCGTTGGTACACGTGCTGGCTGGTAGTCGGGATGCAGTGTCACGGCTGACCAAGAGCGAGAAGGAAGGATTTTCGTGTTTTATAGGAGACTACAAGACCTCAAGATATATATATATATAACTAACATGTATATAGTCATGTGTCGAGTTTGGTAGGCCTGGGTACACATGTATCATTTCTGAGCTGACCATGTACCTATGTGAGCCTATGTTACGTTTGGCTTAAGCCGTCTGCTAGAGGCTGCTAGAGCCAAACTGACAGTCGGTACATGCTCTTTGTTGTGGGGAGTGACCCCACTTGATTCTGAAGGGTTTCTTCAGGTGAGGCATGGATGCTCCGGCTACTCCGGTTCCAGACATGTGTGTTGTGCACACGTCCAGGCCCCTGCTCAGTGCAGAGAACTTGCTGGACTTGACCAGGTATATGCAGACCAAGAAGGCAAGGTCGAGGAGTTCTGGGCCGTGTGGGCCTGGGTCTTTGAGGTTGTGCACCTTCCGGTACGGGACTTGCCGCTGCATGAGCTGGCCTTTGGTCAGGGATGTATCTCTCTACGGAGGTACATATGCTTGGACAGTTCGTGGGCTCGATGTGCCTAGGGTCGGGGCGGATTTCACTTCCCGTGGCTGGGGCCGTGGTCAAGGACCTTGGTGGTACCCGAGCAGCGCATGGAAGCAACATGAGCATTCCTCGACGCAAGCACATGAGCAGTCGTTATCGACCGTCCGCATGCAAACGTCCCCCCGATCTTTGAGTCAGACACTGAAACCAAGTGAAGTGTCCTGGTGCGCCGATGTTGCCAAACCACACAGCCATCGCGCCACGTGGCCGTAGGCATCGGCGGCAGACCCGGGTTTGACTCGGCCTCAGAGCTAGAGGTTGAAGTCGAAGAAGACGAAGTGTCATCGTCGCTCGGGTCGTCATCAGCTTGCAAGTGACCGGGTGCTGCATGAGACGGGCTCGCGGCCTCCTCCTGAAACGTGTTAGGGAGGACTCCGCAATCATCCACACCCCAGGACGCTCCATCGCCGGCACCGACCTCGGAGTCGCGGTTGGAGAGGTCGTCAAGCCTGGGCTCGGAGTCATCGTCCCCATGCAGCTCGTCAACCGGCCCTGGGGATCGTTCCACCGACGGTCTGTCGACTTCACCCGCTGGGCTCCCACTCTGCACAGCAAGCTGCTTTCCGAACGAGGCGAAGGCTGCTGCCGTGGCGTGAAGAGCATGTGATTCTGAAGAGTCGAGGTTCCCCGACCGAGTAGACCCCTCCAAGCAACTGTCTTGCCTCTCATCCACCGCCAGGTAACCCGAGCGCGACATGTCAGGGTAAAACCTCGAGTCTCTAATTGCTTGAAGGCAGCTCTCCAAAGACCTCAGAGGGGCTGCTTGCACGTCACGTGCATAAACTTCTGCTGAGCCATTCTCCGAGTGGTGGCCTAGGATCAACCTGTCATCTCTCGAAATTCCAAATTTAGCGCACCAGGCCAGAGTGGTGCTTTTCATGGAATGCGCGGACAGTTTCGGTGGCTCCTCTCCCGTAGCCTTGCGAAGAAGAGCTCGCAGCCAACACGCCGCATCACCTGTGGAACACGGCTCCTTGCACCAACTGTCACCTCGAGGAACGGGTAGCAACGCACCTCGGCATCCGTCTAGACGGGAGAAAGGTAGGCCTGCCAAGTCCGCCACCTTGATAAAGGTGGGTCCCCAAGCAACATTTCCGACCCCCAAGGCAGGCGCCACAAGTGGAAGCGCAGCTTTAACACGCCGCATTTTATGTGAATATGATGTGAGCTCGAGGTAACCTGCAGTGGCATGCGAAGTCTCAACAAAGTCGGGAATCATTTGAGACACAATTTTTGTGTCCCCATATCTCGCTCTCGAATACACCATGAAGAGCATTGCCCCTGCCGCAAACCTGTCTTGCACGTGCACGTTCTCGTTCCTCAACATGGACTCTAGCAAGGCCACTTCCACGGTAGTCAGGGCACGTGCCTGCTTCGGGGCCCCTTTCTCGGACCGAGACTGTCGCATGACTCCTTTGACCCACGGAGTTTTGGTGGCCGTGACAGCAACGGGTAGACCTACGACATAAGCCAGAAAATTGACAATTTCGCATGCTCCGAGAACTTTGCTAGGCGGCGCGTTGTCCTTCAAGAGCTGTTTGATGTACATTCGCACCTGATGGTTCGCGATGGGGAAAGCTTCCGAACCGGTCTCATGGGCCCACTTGAGGTAGTGCCGAACCTGCCTCAAACGCTTTTCGAGAGCGGTCAAAGCCTTGCCCCCAAAGAGCTGTCGGACACAAGCTACCTTAGCCTGCTCCTCCTGTGCTTCCTCCAAGATGTCGGCGATCTCGCTCCCCCCGGAGTGAGCCTGCAGAATCTGAAGCCATCCCGTGTACACGAGCTCCCACCTCTCATCTTCAAGGAGTCTGCCACGACTGAAAGGCTTAGCCGTGAAGCTGAGAACAGAGTCAGGGCATACGCTCGGCATGCCAGCACTCGTCAAGGACACTGAAGATCGCACAGGCATCACTCTGAAATCCGAAGCACTCTCTGCCGCAAGCATGGGTTCAGCGACTAGAGGTGTGCCTCCAAAAACCAATGCCAAGGCCCCGGACTCCCACGGTAGAGCAAGTCCTTCGAGCCTCCCGGAGGCCGACATGGCCTCCAGAATCATGCCGTCGAGAGCTGCCTTGAACGAGGAGTCCATGATGGCAGACCCGGGCACTACCCTAAAGGTGACCCTGCAAAACCATTAAAAGGAAAAACTGCAGACGGGCTTCACAATCCTACCCATGTTCCCACAGTGAAGCAGAGGCAACGAAAAGCAAGGAGGCCGGTTTGCACGCACTCAGAAAATGCAGGGTCCTCAGTCGCGAGCAGCAGCCGATGCAGCTGGCAAGAACTGCGCAAGAGCTCGCTCCAGACTAGCTAAGCGGGCGGAAGTGCTCATGGCATGCGCCGCCGTTAGACGTAAAAAAAAAATTGCTTGCAGTGCTTTTCCGGGAAAAGATGTCCTCAAAAGAGCGCAGCAGGGCAGCGTTGTCAGCCAAAGCCCTTCGCAAGGCAGCCGAGCGGCCCAGCACGAAAATATGCGGCGCGCCCTTCTAATCCAACGTGTTTAAGTCAAGCTGGGGACAGGCTAGCTGAAACTGGTGTGAAATCAGCAGGAGTTGGGTCTGCAAACTCTGAGTGAAGCGCTTTCGCCACAGCAACAGCCTAGTGACTTCCGGAGACACTCTGTTAGAGACCTCAGTCAACTCTGTAATCAAGCGACGCAAAATGGCAACTTCCTCTGTCAGAGGAATGCCAAACGAGCCACGCAGTTGAGCCTGACAGGCCTGAAGTTCGTCCTCCAGATTGCAAAGCCGCAACTGCACCGTATTGACACGACTGTCCAGGTCGCGGAAAGAGCGCTCGACGTGCTGTAAACGCTGCTCGATACCAGAAATGCTGGCCTCGGCCTCCCGAGGAGAATTCGCAGCCGAAGTGCTGTCGAGCACATCCATGCGCCCCCCGGCCGAGAGCAGCTACAGCTACTGAAAAATTTCTTCGTCCTCCTTGAGAACGAACCTCGCGGTATGATGAAGTGTTCGCTTTGCAGTCAATAAGTCAAGTAATGACATGCAACGGCGTCACAAACTGTTAAACTGTCACATGAAAAGAAAATCGGAAAATGCATGGAACGAGTTTGTTCCTCCACCGGAGGAAAAACTGAAAAGTGCAAAACAGAAAATAAGGTTACCACACCTGCGGTGAGGCAGCACTTCCCTGACCCGAAACCCGGCACCGGCGTTGTCCTCAGCGGTGGTGGCGTGGCTGGCTCCTTGATGATCTCGCTGATCGTCACCTCCACGAAAGGGCCCTTGATCTCTGCCTCCTGGCATTGGGCGAGGTGATCTCTCATATGGGCCGCCCACGTCCTTCTCACCGGAGG